GGGCCCTTTAACCACTTCATTTTTTTTTGCGCTATTTTAGATATTTTACTTGCATGTCGATTTGTTAAAGGAGCCTGAAACTCAAGATGTTCTTTGCTCAATCTACGCTGTAGTTATTGTGCATTCGATAAACACGACCTACGAATCCTTTCTGAAGATAATTGTATATATATTTGTATTTTTTTTCTTCTTAATAAAATGAGTTCAGTGAGAGGATTAGTGAATCTTTTGTGAAGGGTCCTTATGGAGACATTATTTAGAAATAATGTAGAAACACTTTCTCACGCACAACTGTCAAACGCTCTCAGATAAACATGTTAAATGCTATCATATACACATGTGAAACAAATAGTGACATTGATATAAAAACATGTTGTGTGAGCTGTGTATGTTTTTACCTTGTCTGACATGTGTATGTGAGAGATGTTCACACGTTTTTAAATGCTTTTCAGTTCAGAAGTATATGTGAAAGGTATCTACAGTAAATATTATCTTTGCCCAATAATGTGGCATTCTCCTGAATAATTCTATTTTGGCCACAGTAGTGAATCAGTAGTGGAAAAAGTAATCATTAAGAGTGTTATTAGAGCAGTAAACAAATATAACAGGTTAATATCTTATTATGAGCGATCAGGAATCTTTATTGATTAGTGAATCTCTTATGGGTCCTTATGGAGACATTCTATAGAAATAATGTAGAAACACTGTCACACACTGAAACTGAAAGCAAAATCATTAACAAACGTGTGAAGCGCTGTCATATACACACGGTAAATACTGTCATACACACAAGTGAAACGCATACTGACATTAATACAACATGTTGTGTGTTTATACGGAGTCTTACGTGAGAGATTTTCACATGTTTTTAAATACTTTTGAGTTCAGAAGTGTAAGTGAATGGTATCTAAATATTATCCCTAGGGGCCCCTCATAATCTCTGACTGAAACATTCAAACCATCGGATATTCAACCCACACAAATATAATATAACACTTGGAAATACTTTTTAGAGCTTTCTAGACCAGCTACGCCTCCCTGGTTTCCTCTCCTCTGTGCTGATGGTCTTATCTACTTAAAACTAGTATATCATGATGGACTACTTCCTGTTGCCTCCGGTCTTTCTGGAAGTTGAGCAGGTAAATGAAAACAGAAATATATCCCATGCTTTGAACACAATCAGATATACCACTGACGACCTCTTTTCCAATTGCTGTTTTTTGTTTTTATTCCATTATGTACAGACAGAGCATCTCCAGGTTATTACGAGTGCACTTAAGTTGCCATTATTGTGCAGGCATTCTATATCTGAACCTGCTGGGTATCATATTGCATGAGCGTCCTTCATTATCAGATAACAATTGCTGGTAAATGGTAACGAATAGAGAGGCCGGTGAGTGGAGATGAGTCTCGATAAGATATAATGAAGTTATACAGGCCTTGTGCATTCATGACTGATTCAATTACCGCGTCATGTTGTAGATTAGCCAGTATGTGATCAAATAGAGAAGCACCACTTTCCAATAAAAATATACCTAGTCTCTTCGGTAATTGCTATGCATTCACTGTGTCACTGTAATTAGGCCTACATAGTTAAATGAGGTGGTGTAGAATGAATATCCTACGAACATTACAGCGGGGTAATGATAGCGCTGTGTGCTTTGGTTACGCACATGTCTTAGAGCAGAAATGAGAATCTTGCCAATTTCCTCGACACTGTTGATGCGGCACGTGTCGAGCAGCCTCTCATGCTGCCTTCAGTTTCATCTGATGGATAGGCGCATGTATGTGTGCAAATGGAAATGTGACTGATTTGTCGAGTGTGCGAAGGAGTGCATCCGCAGAGTACAGGATCTGTAGATGGCTGCTGACGCTGATACAGGATTATCCTCTGGTGCATTTCCACATTATACATCTCATCTCCTTCTGCAGAAACCATGTTGCACGATAGCATCTCAAGCTAAACAAACTGACAGCTCAAGCAGGCAGAGGCTGCATAACCAATCTGTTGTTTATTATTTATTTTTTGATAATACGAGGAGAGACTCGGGCTAGATGACATTTTCAGCTATTGTGTCTTCAGTCAATAATTTGGCATTCTCCTGAATAATTCAATTTAGGCCACGATAGTGAATCAGTAGTGGACAAAGTAATCATTAAGAGTGTTATTAGAGCAGTGACAAATATGTATATGAAAGTATACAGTGGGGTTATGTTTACCACTCTCACTTGGTGTGTGTGTGTGTGTGTGTGTGTGTGTGTGTGTGTGTGTGTGTGTGTGTGTGTGTGTGTGTGTGTGTGTGTGTGTGTGTGTGTGTGTGTGTGTGTGTGTTGTAATTAGAGTGTCTCGGTAATTTGCTTACAGATCCATTTTGTCTGTCTGTGCACTCAAAATCGTGTTAGTGTGTTATGTCTCTTTCACTTAGCTCAAAATCTGTTTGCCTAAAAACAATATCTTAACGTCAGGATAAATGTATTGGCCACACTCCAAGTTCCCCTCAGTGCCATCAGCATTATTACTTTTGTGTGCACTGTTCACGCTGTTAGCATCAATAGCTGCTAGTGCCATTAGCCGCGAGTGAGCGCCGTTAGCTGCTAGCATGATTAGCTGCTAGCTGCCTGCGTAGCCATCGGCATGTTAAAGGAGCCATGTGGAGATAATTCATGAATTATAAATATGCTCTGAATTAATGTAGGGAAGGAGTAGGAGGAAGTACCAGTGAGCCAATATAATACTGAATTGCAAGGCTGCATTGACAAAGAGGAAACATCATATCAACAATAGATAAAGTTTCTATGCATAAAGTAAATTGTGTTTTGCAAATTGAGCCCACAAAAAAACATTATGACTTTTAGGTCTTCGATGTATTAACAGATATTTTTAGCTCATTATTCAGCCAAACAATGAACAATTAAAGCAGCTTAATGGCTGTAAATATTGAGACTCAACCGAAACATTAGAGTTAACAAACAGAATATTATTAACTACATATAATTACCTACGTTGTATTTGATCATTAATCTAAGAGCAGCTTGCTGTTATCGTACAAAATAATACATTGAAACAGCAATTTAAATGCAAAACCAACAAAAATGCAACATGCTGTACAAACCCATTCGCCTTTATTAACTTGAATGCTATTGTCTTGATGGGAACAATAAACATCTTCTAACAAATGTAATAAAAGGCTTTACAAATGAATAGTTCAGCAGCACTGCACATGTCATTGGTGGAATACATTCACACCGTGTCGTCATGCCGGGACATTTGGTTCCTGTGAAGGCTGGTTATCAACATGCTTTCTATTGTTTTAATCTAACTCCCACCTTTCTGTTTACACACCCCTTCCCTGTTCTCACACCTTAGATTGAGTACGCTGGAAGTAAAGTTCACTGAGCAGCTGAGTCCTGAGCGAAGTCGCACTTAGAGCCAGATCCCAGAATGCACTGGGCAGAGAAAGTTCACCGGTTCATCACAGTATAAACACATTGACAGGTGTAAACAATGTAGAATAAGACTGACTTTTATGTTGCTAATAATTAACGCTGTATCTAATACAAAGCTTTTCAAATCCATTTTATTTCTATAGCACATTTAAAAACAACAGAGTTGAACAAAGTGCTGTATATCAACAACTGTATAAAAGCATAGCATAAATACATACAAAACAGACAGGACACGAAACAAATGTGAAACACGAGACACTGAAACCAGATCAGAAGCCACAGACTGAGAATCTCTCCTACATGACGTAAAAACAATACGAAACACTAGTAAGATAAAAACCCAAATTTAAAAGCACAAGTGTCACCTGGCCTGTAAAAGCCAAACTTGTAATCCTTTACCAAATACACACAGGTACTACAACCAATACCGGCATTCAAAAGTAGGGGAGACCGGGTACAGTTGAAACACGGGTTGGTTGTAACACCCTCAATATCTCAGATCATAAACAAGCTAGAGTGATGACACTCACTCTGCACATGCGCAGTTAGATGGTAAGATCGCCGAAATAAAAAGGAGCCACGTTTGAATATCTCACGTAAGTTATCAGCAAAAGTGTGTTTCTGAGGTCAAATATTAACTAAAATGATATGATGTATTTTTTGGATACTGTCTTGAGTTCAAAATGTCTAGGAATCCAAACTAGTATTATTAGAATCACTGTTTTGTAAGCTACAAATATAGCTAGCTAAATATGGGTCAAGCTAGCAATCAGGCAGGTTCACAGGGGGTGAAGCAAGACTGGTGGTTCTGGGACGGTTGTAACGGGACGGTTGTAACATGGCACATTTACAATGATGGCTCATTTGCTTGAATGATCAATTGTTCATTCAAGCATTGATTGGTGTGTATTGTCCCTGTAAAAATAAACATAATTAAATACTGTACAGTAGGCATAAAGTGTGTGTGTGTGTGTGTGTGTGTGTGTGTGTGTGTGCATGTACCCCTTTCAGATGGTCAAAACAACATGTAATTGCTCAGTTTTTGTGACACACACACACACACACACACACACACACACACACACACACACACACACACACACACACACACACACACATTTGCTAGAAACACACTAAAATATTGTATGCAAGCAGATACATGTACGATAGGAAAGAGCCAGGTTTTAAAGTCTGGTTTAATTTTGTTTACGTATTAGAATCAAATGTATCAGGCCATAAAACCAAACCAAAACTACCAACAGCCATAAGAAATGTCCATATTGTAAAGAATAAAGTCTTTAAGAAATAGTAGAAAGATATTCTGAGATGGTCTTTGTGGATTTAGGAGAAATCTAGATGCAAATGAACAAAATTAGGAAAATTAATTCCCAATTAATTTACGGCACACCAGAGAGGTTTCGTTAACGTTAGTTTCGTCCTGGCAGCAGAGGGAAGGATGCTCGTGTCTGCGCGGTGATTGGCTGTCTATGCAGCCTCCCGCCTCGTGAATAAAGCCCCTCGCGGTGCCCCCGTGCGTCAGAGCGAGCGCAGCCGGAGCGAGGAGCGGAGGGACTTCACGCGAAGCTGGACACACATATTTCCCTTTCACTGCTGGAACTCAGCGAACAAATCGTAATTATTCCCTGACCATCAGCCACATTTAGTGGAACTCTGCTGGAATATTTCTCGGGAAACTTTGGTCTTGATCACTCCACAACACCGAGGTGAGTTTACATGAATTAAAAACTCCATTTAATCTAAACGCAGAGGGTGATAGTAAGTGGTCAAGGAGTGGTTTGGCTGTGCACTTGGCGCAGAAGTGGCCACATGACTTTAGTTACTGCGCCTCTTTTGATGAGCTGAACTGAAGTGGCGCAATGAATACAACTTTGATTTGTTTGGAAAAATGTATTTAATATCTGGTATTTTTGTGATTTCATTTATTGTGCTAAATATAATTTAGCTATGGTTTCTATTATGTAATTATTTATTTTTATTTAAATGGATTTATACTATATATTTATTATAGCTTTGTGAATCATTTCACATTTTCTTTTACAAGTTTGCATTTCAAATAGTTTGTTTGTTTTGCACATGGCATATCATTAAATCCGTAATAAAAAATATCAAAGAAAAGTTAAACTAATGCATTATCCTTCATTAATATTTAATGCATAAAATAATGCATTAACACGTGATAAAGTCACTGTGTCTTTATGTGGTTTCTTCACAGTTAATAGACTGTGAATAAATGCTGTTAATTCACAGTTATTTCACATTACAGCAACATAACTGTTCTTTTCGGAGTCATTCATCTGCTCAGCTTCTGTCAAATAAAAGCAATATCTTCAATCAGAAATATTGTTTTCTGTTTGTATTATGAATGTATGAAGTGAATGAACATCACATTACAGCACATTAATGCTTAAGGAATTTATTATTTGTCATTAACTGATCCTGTTGTGTAACCCGATGTGTTGAAGAAAATGTTCATGCAGTTAGGCGATCAAATAAGGACTATATTCTGATAAAAGTATGATAAGCACGACGAGCAGCTTTGTCCGGGGGCCTCATGCAGCGTGATGGGTGGACATGATGGATGTACCTATTGTTGCACTCACAATAACATATTCAAACCAAAAGAATGAACCATGTCCAGTTCACTGGCTTTTTATTGGATCTGTTTTTACAGAGCAAAACACCTACCTCCAGGAAACTGGCAGAAAAAACATATTTATCACTTTCGAAAATGAGGCTATACACTTTTATTACCTTGTATTTAGGATGCAGTGGAGCTTGTATTTCTTGTTTCGAGTAACGCTCTACCATCTGTATAAAACAGCATTGTGATGGCATGTTTAGTGGGTTGTATGCAGCATTTCTGTTTGGACCATTGTTGTTATGCCAAACCGGAGACAGAGGGGGGCAAAATAACAGAAACGCATGCAATGTCAATACAACACCAACATCTACAAGCTCAGAACCATGCATGACATAATCAGTTGATCAGGGAAAAAAATGGTAAGCCCTACATGGGATTTGCTGCAGTAGTATGTTGCATTATTGTCCAAGAATATAGTTGTCCTGTCCTGAGTTGTATCTGGGATGAGTGTTTAAACAACCAAATATACCCCTGAAAACGAAGTATGTTTAATCAATACTGTAGAATTTCGAGGTACTTGAGAATTGCCTTGTTATTCTACTTTAAACTTCCGCTCAGCTGCATTTCTCACTTTGCTTTAGAAAACCAGACGTCTACTGTATATATTCACCAAAGTTACTTTTCACAAATATATGTCATCTTAATAAGTGTTTGAGTTAAGTCACGTAGACACTTAAAGGGGAAACTATGTCTAAGAGGTTATTAGAGATAAGTCCAAAACTCATGACCCCGCTGATTTATCTTGTGACCCTTTGGAGGGGCACGACCCCTAGATATGGAACCACTGTAGTAAACTTTTAAACTGCAGTAGTAGTTCAAATCTTAAGTGTTGCATCAGTATTTACTACTTTCCTAATTTCCAACTAAATCAGTACACAGAATGATAATAGTAATGTACATTTACTTATTTTAAACACAGGACTTTTACTTGCAATGTCGTACTATAACAAGTGCTACTTGTATCTGAGTACTACTGCGACTAAATAGACGGCCTCATGCGTTAAATCTGGTACAGGAAATCGGTCAGGTGTTTTCTAGACTTATAAAGTTGTTAGTTATGTTTTACCTGATTACTCTATAACTCCATCAATTGATCCAGACACAGACACAAAACATTGAAATGCCCTGAGGCCATTTCTTTCAAAAGCCTCGGCTCAAAATTACATAATGCATTTTTCTACTGAATTTATTTTATTTATATAAATATAATTCATTTTTTTGAATCCATCCCTCTTCACATCTGTCTTTTAGTGCCTTCAGTTCACTCTTATGAATCCTGTCCTCATAGGCAGAGTAACTCACCTCTAACGCTTTCCCCTCTTATTGCTTTTTATTTCCTGTGCTTTCCTTTTTCCTCCTATTGTCCAAACACATTCATCTCAAACCTGACCTTTTTTCTGGCCATTCTGTTCCGGTTTTTCTTTGTACTTTTTAAATAACATTTCCAAATGTTTCATGCTCGTCTTAATATCCCCTCTTCCCACACCCAAACCCAAAGTATTTTGACAACTAATTTCCCCATCCACTTCTGCCTGGCAGGTTTCCAACTTTCCACCTCTTTCTTTTCTAAGAAGTGAAGCCAGCAGAACTAAAGGTCGGAGATGATTTTGAAAGTAGACTTTATTAAATTAAGAGGATCAGTGTGGTTAAGACTCAGCTTTCCAATTTGATCAGACAGGCACCCTATGACATGGCCTAATGAGAGTCCATGTTATAAAACACAAACGCATAATTCAGATGATGGAGGACAAGTGAAGACGAGAATGTTCAAAACTAATTTCTTGTGATATGTGTGTGAGTTCGTCCATCTGACTTTGTGCCTTTGAGTGTGTGAGTTGGGTTTGAGGGGGTGTGTTAGTACTGCGTGTGTTGGTATGGTGTGCAAGCTGGGTTCATTAAGTTTAAGCACATTCTTAGATGTGCTCATTAACAAGTAAAGCATTTGTCCCCTTTCCAAACCATGGTGTCAAGAGATCCATACAATCTCTTTGAGATAGAGAGATGTGTTTGTGTGTGTGTGTGTGTGTGTGTGTGTGTGTGTGTGTGTGTGTGTGTGTGTGTGTGTGTGTGTGTGTGTGTGTGTGTGTGTGTGTGTGTGTGTGTGTGTGTGTGTGTGTGTGGGTATTAATCGTCAATCAGCCAGAGACGCCCCAGGGCACGCTGACATTTTGGGGGGTACACATGATCTTTGAAATGCTTGAAGCCCAGCTGGGGTACTTTGTGAGATACACACACACACACACACACACACACGCACGCACGCACGCACGCGCACACACACACACACACACACACACACACACACACACTTACACAGCTGCTCCTCGTCTAACCTATAACCTCAGTTATCATGATTCCATTTGTCTGTTTAATGTTCCACGGCCCCTACTCTTTCCGGTCATTTCACCCCTTTCAGCCCTAAGAAGACTATTCCACTTCACTAAAATGTTCTTTTACATTATTCAGATGTTTTTCCGTTGTGAACATATCACTTATAAGCCTCCTTGCTTTATTATAAACCCTGTTAATAAATCCAGTTCACAAAAAGTGAACAAACCCACAGAGATTAGTGGCTTTGGTAGCTGTACTACACTGCAGTGCGTTGAGCTAGAGACTGGAAAATCTCCTTGATGTTTAATGTTCTTGCATGCAACATTTATTATAGGTATACCTAGCACTAAACCCAAAGTACAACTGAGGATGATCAGAATGTGATTAGTTCTGCAGACATTTGTTCATGAACCAGTTTTGGTTCAAGAGAAAAAGTGTATCTGATAATGACAGGAGATGAAACACCAAGGGAAGTTAACATTTATCCTGAGGGGACCATGAATCTGCGCTCCAACTTTCATGGCTATTGTTCCATAGATGTGGAGACCTTTGCCCTCAAGAGAATAATGGTGGTTCAAGAGAAACATTCAGTGGATCACCAAAGCCATCTTGATTCATTCGTTTGACATCATGAATATCTTTACCCAATGTGTGAAATTCTATCTAGTAGAAGTAGAAGGGGATCACAAAAGCTAGTAAGACTCCTCCTTTGGGGATCATGAACATTTGTACAAGATTTTGTGACATTCTATCTAGTAGAATTAAAGATATTTCACTGGGTAGGTGAACAATTTGAAATTCTGGTGGCACTATAAAAATAAAGGGATTGACGAAACCAGATGGATTCATCCTCAGGAGATAATGAACTTGTGTAAAATAAATAAAAATGTCATGCCAATTCACCCATTGGAATGAAACACACAAAACTATTGCTGTGTTTAACCTGTGCGTTTCCTTACGTTTCTGCAGGACAAACAAGCTCGGATTCAAACCCACACCACCCGGACCAGAGCAAGGCCCGATGTGTGCATGTGTGTGAGCATGTCTGTGTGAGGTCCTTTAAGTGTGTATTTTCAGTACTTCCAGTGCCTTTGAATGAGCGAACGTGTTGTGTGCGTGAGTGAGAAGATGAGGGCTGTTGCCGCTCTTCTGTGTTTCCTGATGGTCGCCCAGGTCGGGGCGTCCCGGTTGGTCCGGGACACCGTGGTGGGCCCGGAGGCTTCAGAACCCTACAAGAGCAACGCCTCCGTCCCGCTTCAGCCCCCCCAGCAGGGCCGTCCACGGGGCTCCTTCCCCCCCATGTGTGTAAATCCCACGGAGATAAAGCAAGCCTTCAAGTATGTGAACACCATTGTGTCCTGCCTGATCTTTGCGGTGGGGATCATCGGCAACTCCACACTGCTCCGGATCATTTATAAGAACAAGTGCATGAGGAATGGACCCAATGTCCTGATTGGCAGCCTGGCTCTGGGAGACCTGCTTTACATCATCATCGCCATCCCCATCAATGTGTTTAAGGTAACCACATTTATTCCTTGATTGTTGCCAGGTTTGATTTTGGAACTGATCATGTCATTTGATGGTTGAATTGAGCCATTACATGTATTTATTCACTTTTAAATGAGAAGAGGCAGGTGACTTAACATCTTGATGCAACAATTCAGGCATTTCACACAAAATTAAAACTTCAAATGATTCCAACGTATTGAGACGCGTCGCTTGGTCTGTGTCTAATTTGATAAGACTTTAATCTAAAGTAATTTCCTTCACTGCACTTTCACAGTTACGAGGGGACCGTTTGCGACAGCTTTCTTGACACATTCTGTGGTTAGCGGTTTATGTAAGAGTTTATTGCAGTAGTGTGTCCTTGTATTTAAGGTGTTTTGTGTGGTTTTGTTCATTTCCTTTTTTTAAGTAAAGACTCTGCACACTTGACTTTCATTTGACCACTCCAATTAAAAAACTAAATCAAAGCAGATGCGAGTCAACAGTTGGGGACAAACCTGGTCCTTTCCTCACTCGCCTTGTGTGTGTGACCTGAAAAGATCCAGTGCGCTTTGGTCTAAATGCAGTCACTGCCAAATGTTCAAGTTATACTGTAACCACAAACGTGCGCCAGCAAGAAGTTCAAAAAAAAGGAGAAAACAACATGTGAAACTTGTTTTATCCTCCACAACTGATGAATAATTGACTTTCAAGTGAATATAGCTGGAATATGGTTCTGTATTTTATCCATTATTTATGATCTGCTGTATTGATAACAGACTTGGTTTTGAAAACTTGAAAGTTGTACAACCAAGCGTTGCTAATAACTCTATATCTCGTAAAGTGGCTGACAACATTTGATTGGTTTGCTGTAAAGGATATTGTCCTGAACTGATTTGATTACCCTTAGGACATTAACTTAAGCTGTGGGGAGGAAATGTTGACTTTGGCGAGCTGCCTTGGTAATACTGACACTAGGAAGACAGGGCCCCTACATGAACCTCAAAGATGTCTGTCCATGTGTTTGCACAGGGGACACCTCTTATCATAAAATCTTTCATTACTACTACATTACTTTTTAGACACTTTTATCCAAAGCGACTTACATACTCAATACTGTGGGGAATCCCCACAGGAGCAATTTGGGGTGAAGTGTCTTGCCCAGGGACACAACGACATGCTGACTGCAGTGGGGTTTGAACCTGTGCTCTCCTGATCCGAACACCAACGCACTAACCCACTGCTCCACAGCCCCCCTTTCCTCATTGTCTGCCTCCACTATTCTCTGCAGCTAATAGCCGAGGACTGGCCGTTTGGCGTGTACGTCTGTAAGCTGATGCCGTTTATCCAGAAAGCTTCAGTTGGAATCACCGTCCTCAGTCTGTGTGCCCTCAGTATCGACCGGTGAGTACATTACCAACACAATCACAACAAACATCAGCAAGGAATTACATTGAGATGTTGAATGACAGCTGTTAAACCTAGAGATCTTGTTACTGTTCCAAACCAGTAACAAAGATTTCAGTTGTACCGACATCCAGGACAATACCCTGCTATTAGCTGGAAGTCCAAGTCAAGTATTTCTAGAAAAAAGTGACATTTACCTTCAGTTACACAAACCCCTGCCTCCTCAGAGATATTTATATGTTTAACTTATTCATCATTTACCATGGCCTACTCTTAGAAGGAACTTGGTCACTCTCTATAATACTAACTGATTTCTTCCATGTGAGTTTTAAGGACAGTTTTGAAAAAGACTTGACGCATACCAAGACCACAGACTTGAACCAATAAGATAGGACTCAAATGTACATATATATACAGAAATTGACATGTTTATGTTTATAAGATAGGACTGAAGCCAATTAAAATAATAATGGCCTCAAGTGATACTAGTCCTTGGCTGTGGAATCAACATCAATCGTTTTGAAAACAAACAAAGAGATGGATTCCATTTCTTCATAGCAATAATATAAATATTTCGTGATTTGTAAGAGACATTGTGTCTAAACTATGATAGGAAGTGGAATCAACTTCAACATCTGGTTACCACCTTAGAATCATCTGGCCATTGTTGGTGCCAAACCAGAACCTAACCAATGTGTAGTTCTGAAAGCAGCTGTCTGTGTTTGTGTACAGCTACCACGCCGTGACATCATGGAGCAGGGTGAAGGGGATGGGCATCCCTCTGTGGAAAGCGGTGGAGGTGACGCTGATCTGGCTCGTTGCCGTGGCGCTGGCGGTCCCTGAGGCACTGGCCTTCGACATGCTGGAGATACCGTACAGAGGCAACAAGCTGCGCGTGTGTCTGTTGCACCCAGAACAGACCGGCAGCTTCATGAAGGTAGAAAAAAACTCAATAAACTTCCTTGTTGCCTTCCACAGAATGAGAAATTGTTTGCTGTTTTACAACATGTGCTGAAAATCCTGCACACTGATTGAGAACTCTCTGATTTTACTTTTAAGTACAAGCAGCATCTAAACAGCAACATCACAACATTTTGTTTTCTTTCATCAGGATAACATTTGTGAAGCTCTGCCACCAAGTAATTAGTCATTCCAGAACATGTAACACAACCCTTATTCACAGCATGCAAATCATCTGAATGTGATCACAGTACATTTAGACATCTGCACACAGGAACAAATTGGGAAGATATCTCCAATATGTGGGTACTTAAAGTTTATTTAAACCAGATGGGTCTGGGGGAAACGCAGGACAGGGTGGAAATAGAGGATATTGCTGCAATGTCTTTTCATGTGACTATTCAAATCAGTGAATTCAGCTTGATGAAATTAGCTATAATGCATCATTCAGCCTGAGCTGGTGAAATATGTTGAAAAGATGGTATTTAGATTTAATTGAGGAAATGTCTTACATTCTTTCAACTAAATCTTCCACAAGGGCAAAATAAATACAAAAGGAAGAATTTATTTCAAACCAAAACAAGTCTGTAACTAATTCAGCGTGTCTCTACCAAGTCTCATTAACCCAGGTCTCGGGGGGGTCAGTGCCCATTTCTTTACAATATGTCTTTGTTTCTTGATGGCATAGCATGAAATGCAATCTCCAACCGTGTGGACCTGTGAATATTTTTCCAGCTCTACCACGACATGAAGGACTGGTGGCTGTTTGGCTTCTACTTCTGCTTCCCCCTGGCCTGCACAGGAGTCTTCTACACCCTCATGTCCTGCGAGATGCTCAGTCGCAAGAAAGGCATGCGCATCGCACTCAACGACCACATGAAACAGGTACATCCAGAAACATTCATCTGTTTGCATCTTGCTATTTATTTATCTATATATCGTATTCCATTTACGTGTATAAAGACTATTCTGCTATTTTATTTGTATTTACTTGCACATCTTGCAACATTCTCTTGCACTATTGTACTTCTATTCTGTTATTTCTTGCACTATTGGCATTGGTTTTATCTGTTTTATGTCCTATATATTCATATTGCATGTTGGAGGAGTCTTACGTTTTTTATTGCCATATCTAAACTGTAGCGACTGTACTAATGACAATAAAGCCTTGAATGAGGTAAAGTTATTTATATTGTAGAAAAACCTTCTGTCACAAGTGGTTTGAAAATCTTACTTTAGTAAAAGTGTGTAAGGAAAAGTGTAGGAGGAAAAGTATTTATAGTAAACCATTCAAGACAGGACAATGTCTCCTTTGACTGTCATACAATTCACTTTATATCAGTAGATTAATTTAACTCCTGAACTGCTTCAAAAGCAGGATTTTACTGTTGTAGTACTTTGAGATAGAGGTCATGAACAAATACCAAATAATTATTTTAATTCTTAATGAATGTGCTGATCATTTGTATTACATAAAAAGAAATACAGCTACATTCAATAAAAATACAATGATTTAAAATGAAAACCAGCAAACCTTCACACTTCAAACTAATTCATTAAATGTATTTGAAATAGAAAAAAATAAACGATTTACATTATCATCAGAAATGTTGCTTTTATAATCAAGCTATTCTTGGGTTTTCTGTGGAAAAGCTTAATTAAAGTCAACTGTGTGTGTGTGCAGCGGAGGGAAGTAGCGAAGACGGTGTTCTGCCTCGTGCTGATCTTCGCTCTCTGCTGGCTGCCTCTCCATCTGAGTCGCATCCTGAAGAAAACTATTTATGACGAAAATGACCCCAACCGCTGTGAGCTGCTCAGGTAAGACGACACTGCCAACGTCACCCTCTGCTCTCCACTCTGCGACTTCCTGTATTCCTCACTTGAAACTTTGCACTTGTCCCACCCGACAGCTTCTTGTTAGTGATGGATTACATCGGCATCAACATGGCTTCCTTAAACTCCTGCATTAACCCCATCGCCCTCTACTTTGTCAGCCAGAAGTTTAAAAACTGCTTCCAGGTAAGAGGCTACTAAAATGGCACTAAAAATTGTATATATAGAATGTACAGATTGATGACTGTGTGTTCTTTGTCCCGCAGTCTTGCCTGTGCTGCTGGTGCTACAGGACATCTCTTCTGGACGAACGAGGCTCGGGGGGGCGCTGGAAGGGCTCTTGTCACGGGAACGGGCTGGACCGCTCCAGCTCCCGCTCCAGTCAGAAATACACAAGCTCTTCATAAACACACACACACACATATCCTGCCATACCTCGTGTTCCCATCGGCTCCCGGAGGAAACGGAGAAGGAATCACTGAAGGAAGGAGGGAGGAGGAAACAGGACTGTACCTGATCAGGCTGCCAAAACATATGATGTCTTAAATCTGTGGCTGTTATAGAGGACTGAAGTCGCTACATTTATATAGAATGTTTATTAAAGCCGCATGTAGAGGGTTATTTACAAGCAGACCTATGATTATACCCTGCCTTATGTCTGAATAACAGCTGCAATACTGAAGCTTTAATACCTCACAGTGAATGGAAACTGTTCTTTTTACATACACAACGGTGCCTCTGCAATAATAAACACAATCAAACGCTGATTATCTGAAAAGCTGCTGAGCCGATTCCAGGCTGCCCGGTGACATCATAGTGAAAAGGGCCCCGCTGTCATGTGGGGAGCCAAACGTTGGAAATCTTTTATCTGGAAGTCATCGACGCCTGAAATCATGCAGAGAGCAGCTGTTGTCTTTGAACGCTGAAAATAAACACCAGATGACTCCAATCATGCCACACAGAGGAGATCATTTATAAGGACTTTTATTATTGCATTATTCAAGCTGTTGTACGCGTTTTTCACTGTGTATAAAGTCTTAACCCGTCCTTTATTATAATGTAGCTTCTATTTTTATAAGAAAGTATTACAAAACATGTGGATATTGTTTAACGTGAGGTGGTCATTTGTTATTTTTGTTTCCCGTAGCTGCTGGAAAGGACTTCTGAGAGCTGCTCGCGGAAATATCCTAAACTTGACCCATTTAAAAAGATTTAGCAAGGAAAAAATAAATCCTGTACAGCTGGATGTGTTCAAGAAGTTTCTGGTCACTGTGTAAAGTTCAAGTTATTTAGATAAATGTTTTTGCATTGAATTTAATCCTGGTAATCCATTGTTTAACCAACATGATTTTCATCAAAGGAGCTCATAGTGAGGAATGTATTATGTAGGCTGCAGAACTGAAAGATACATGTGTTCCTGATATTTTAAGATTACCTTCAGGACATCTGTAGCTAGCTGTACTTTGTGACAAATCTTGTGATACCGGCACATCATCAAATAACCATTTTGAAATCATCGTAAACTAATTCAAACCGTCTTCAACATTACCAGTAGTAAGTCACTTATGATACAAACACAAGATGACTATAATGTAATCCTCTTATAGTTTTAAATATCAAACTAAAGAGGGAAGGTGCCTTTTTTAAAAACGTGCTGATAACCAGACAAGGTGTTTGTTCACACTGAAGTATTTTCAACTCTTTTTAATATAAGCTATAATTAAATGTAGGCTACAGTGAAAATATGTCCATGGAAAGCTCAAATCAGCTGATCATGTAGCATGTGTCTCATGAACTCATCATGATTGTGTGTGCCATCACTGCGCTGCTTTAGGATAGAGATGGAGGTCTGAGCAGCTCTGTGACCCAGACACTGAGATAATTTCAGGTTGAAGATTAATGTAATGTGAATATACGCCCCGGTGTTTTAAATTACATTTATACCGTACCTATTTGTTGGAATATGCTGTAATAAATATTATTTTATAGCATTTCTGTTGTCTGAGGTTTTTACTAAAGCGTGGTTCTTCAACAGGGGGGACGGGACCCCTATAGTTACTGCAATGGGGCAGCATCATCATTTTGAAAAATAGTTCTTGTTTCAAAAAATCAATTGTATGAAAATACAAATAAAAGTAACAGGAATCCAACATTTTATAAGCAGACATACATCAGTGTTTTCCCAAAAAAAAACGTTATCTAATTTATACTACATTGATAATAACACTTTTACCTTTACAAAGATACGCTTTATAGTCGGTTAAGATAAGATAAGGTCAACTTTATTGATCCCAAATTGGGAAAACATGTTTGTTGCAGCAGCATGTAAAACAAAGTATTGCACATAATTACAAAATAAAAAAAGAGTAGAAGAAAACAATTATACAATATGAACATCTCAAAATAGAAGATAAAACAAAAGAGGGAAAATAAAAAATTGACCATGAATATAAAAATATGTAGACCATCTGACAAATACAATTCTATTTGTGGACATTAAATTAGATATAAATGTAAAATGTACAGTGAGAAGTTATAAGTCCAGGGCCGTCCCTCCCTACAGGACGATCATGCACACTGTATGGGGCCTCACCTTGCGGAGGGAGTCTCAACTGAGCCGAAAATGCGGCGCACCTCTGCGCATATGCGGTGCAATTAGTGTGGCGCGGCACGGTTTCGCCGCTGCGAGGCTTCACTAGCACCCCCCGTCCCGTCTAATTTGACTTGTTTTATTGTCTTTGTAGTCTTTTCTTTATGTCTCGTTTTTTGGTGCCTCTCTGTGGTTATTTTGAGTCTCCTACGCTGAAAAAACGAAATTGTTGACTTTAATTAAATGTATTATGTCAACAGATTTCACATAATTAGGTTATATATAGTTGAACGCAATAATATTAAGTTTAAATAAAAAATATTTTGTTCAACTTATTATTATTGCTTTCAACTAACGTCAGATTCAGAAACAGGTTTATTACCAGGTAGGTGTTGTGTCCCGTCAATTATGTTAGTTTGTTATGTATCAGTCACGTTCATGCTTGTTTTGTTTGTTTCACTTCCTGTTTTATTTTGTACTCCTTGTCTCATTCCAGGTGCCTTTACTTCCGTGGTTCTTGTTTCCCGCCATCGTCAGCGTCTGCCCCGCCCCTGATTGTTTCCACCTGTTCCCACTTACCTCTCGTATATATTGTCCTGTCTCCCCTTGTCTGTTGTCAGTTCGTCTTGTTCGTCATGCCAAGAAGTCAGATGCAAGCAGCCATAGAAAGAGACCAAGTACCTTTTGAGATATCCTCCATGAGAGCATTTTGTTTTGTGACCGTTTTGTCACTCCCTCTGTAAAGAGTGGTTCTTTGTTTTTGATCCATTAAAGTTTATTTTTCTTCAAAACCTTTTCGTCTCCGGGTTGTGCAATTGAGTCCTCATATCAGTGAGTCACGGTGCATAATAGAATTAACTGACCAGAATATGGACTCAGCCAACCCCAAGACGCTGCAGACCGCCCTGTCCGTACAGGGTAACGTCATCCATCAACACCAAGAGCAGCTAAAGAATATTAGCCAAGGAGTTAAGGAGCTTTCAGATCGCCAGGAGGGTTTCCAGACCTCCGTCACCTCACAAGTGAACCATCGCAACGCAGCTCCACGGGCTTCTCTCTCATCTGAAGGCAGCTCCCACAGCTCCGATTCCTGCTACTCCACCTGATGCCAATCTTGCTGTGAATCATGCCTCTCCTGTTCCACTGCGGTTGGCAGCACCGGAGAAATACTCAGGAGAATCGAGCAACTGCAGAGCCTTCTTAGTCCAGTGTGATTTACATTACCAACTTAATCCAGCAGCGTTTGTATCTGATGAGGCTAAGATAGCGTTTATGATCTCCCATTAACCGCTTAACCGAGCTGCCCGCATGGCCATTGCGAGTGTGGTCTAGAAAATTCCAATATCTGTAGATCCTTCATAGCGTTCAAAGACACTATGAGCCGCATATTTGATATTACTCACCTACCGGTGACGCCACTCAGGCTCTCATGCAGCCTCAACAGACTCACGCACCGTAGTAGAGATTATGCCATAGAGTTCCGTACCTTAGCCATAGAACAGTGGGCTGGAACACTCCAGCATTAATAGATGCCTTCCGCAATGGACATCTCAGAGACGATTAAAGATCACCTGGCTCCATTTAGAGTTATCACAAGACCTCGATCACTCATTTCACGTCTCTTCCGAATTGACAATCGCCATCAGGGAAAGAGAGAAGAGAACGACGCTGAGTCGCAACAAGACCCTCCCAGCCACCAGGGACGCTCTCTGGGTAGGAGTTCTCCGTGGGATTCCTTGTTTCGCCTCTTCATCAGGGCCCAGCAGTGACAGCGCCACCACAGGCACCGGAGGAACCTATGCAGCTCGGAGAACGAGGATTTCTCCAGAGGAACGACGGCGCCGCCTGCAGGAAGGGATGCTGCTTCTACTGTGGTCAAATGGGACACCAGCAGGCGACATGTCCGGAGAAAAGGGCATGGCTCACCAACCATGAGGAGGGGCGTTGGGAGCAAAATTGCATCTGGGTTATCCTCTCTCGCACACTCACCCAGGTAGATATCATGTGCAATAGTCAGACACACATTATGGGGGCCTTAATTGACTCTGGGGCTGATGAAAGTCTCATAGACTGGTCTAGCGAAAACGTCTTAATATTAAGACTGTTCCGCTCCAACCATCCCGTCAATGCCAGTGCCCTAGACGGCAGATTATGTGATAGAGTCAGCTGACTGTACAGAACCCATGCAAGTGACTAATTGACAATAATCATGTGGAAATGATGCAATTTCATCTGTTCGATACTGCACAGCATCGCGCTGATTTTTGGGGTTTCCCCTGGTTAAAGACACAACAACCCACATATACGATCTGGTGTTCAGGACAAATTAAGGGCAATGGGGAGAGAATTGTGAAACAGTCATGTAAAGCTCCCACGTACTGTTGCAGTGGCTGATAGTAGCTCAGACTTTCCTGACCTTTCCAAGGTCCCCTCTTGGCTACAATGACATTAAGGAGGTTTTAACAAAAACCAAACGCACTATCATTGCCTCCTCATCGTCCGTTTGACTGTGCCATCCGAGCACTGTTACCTGGCACACCCATCCCTAGGGGGCGCTTATATTCTAATCTCAGGACCAGAGCGGGCGGCCATGGATGACTACATCTCCTCCTCACTGAAGCGTGGATACATCCGTCCCTCTTCTTCACCTGCGGGTGCAGGATTCCCTTCTTTGTGGAGAAAGAAGGATGGGTCCTAAGACCAATGCATTGACTACACGCCCATTAAATGGACCTTACAGTGAAAAACCGCCACCCACCTCCGCTGATGTCTTTCAGCTTTTTAATAACTACTTCAGTCCAGCTAAGGTGTTCACACAAGTCCGATCTGAGATGCCTACCACCTCGTCAGGATTCGAGGGGTGACAGAGTTGAAACGGGGTTCAACCACCTATGCGGACATTAGAATACAGGGTTAGTGCTTTTGGACTATGCAACTTGGCTGCTGTTTTCAACTATGGTCAGATGACATTTTGAGAGAATTTTTTTAATGTGTCTGTTTTCGTGTATTTGGACGCATATTCTGATTTTTCTCCAGATATTCAGTCTCATGTCAGGCAATGTCCGCCAAGTCTCCAGAATTCTGGAGAATCAGTTAGTATGTGAAAGCCTGAGAAGTGGCGATTCCATGCAACCACTGTCTCCTTCCTGGCTAAACATTTCCCGCAAATCGGCCCAGAATGGATCCGTCCAAGGTCCAGTGCGGTGACCGACTGGCCTACTACCAGATAGCCGG